CCAACAAAATACTCGAAGTTCAAATCGTGAGTACACACACCTAGATGATAAAGACTGTAACACTTTTGTTAAACATAAATAGAAAAATGATCTACAATTTATTATTAATTTTGTATTATTTTACTAATCCCTATATATAATTACTATGAATTATTATGAATTAATCATGTCAAATTTTTTAAATATAAGAATAAATTTTATTATATGCTTATATATCCTGAATTTGAGAAAGACTTTAAGAGAAAAACAATAATTGATTACATCAGAGAATGAGAAAGCTAATAAATTTTACATCGCTACCGAGACATATACTTGTTGACAATCGAGTTTAGCAAATGTTTGATATATGCATATTTTCTCAGGAAAGTTTGAATATGTATGATAAGAGAGATACGCGTTGTTACATCAAATTCGGAATCAAAAGAGAGAGGATTAAAACATTCTAAAAAATCTTCGCGGCTCTTCCTTTTTATCCTTTCTATCAGTACGAAGTATGCGTTGCGGTTATTGCTGCTGTTAAAGTCCAAGTTGATGATTTTCTCGAGCCGGTTGCGCGGCAAAACTAGTACATATCCCACCGCATTCTTCCTGCCTGTGTCTTGTCGACCGTCCGAGAATTAACCGCCACGATACGCGGCGATATCAGATCGGTTCTTGCGGGAGTCAGGATCTCGCGGTACGACGCGTTCAAAGAATTTCCGCGAGTGAAATGTTATGTTTGGAACAAGAAAACACATAACGCAGAGCCAGTTGTGGGGATTTAATTGAGCGGTGAGATATCCGTTAACGAAAATAATTTCCAGAAAATTGATGCGTGTCGAACTGTGAGAAATGGAAATACATCAATCAAAAAATTGTCACACTTATAAGAATATGAAAATATGAATTTTCTAGTAATCTCATACAGTGTTAATCAGAGAGATTTAACAAATTATTGCCATATAAATAAAATTCAGTAAAAAGAAATTATTACATAGAAGCGCAATATAAAAACTCTGTAGAATTATTATTACTATTTAGTTAGATGCTACTAATAATGATCGAAAAGACTATTGCAAAATATGTACGTTGAATTCTTTTCGTAGTATACCTATTCATTAAGATTACAAATTCAATTAGTCAAATACATATCTTAATAGTTCAAATAATGCTTAACGTTTCACGGTATATAGAATTAATTCCATCTTTAGTTCATTCATTTTTATCATTTTTATAATTGCAATTTAGTCTCACATGACAAGATCAATTTTCTCAGAAAAAAATCTAAGAGATAGCAAATATTCCCTCCTATTTTTCTCTCCCTCTTCTCACGAGTCTACCCAGTCTGCCGGCCTTCGCCAAAGGAAGCGAAATCGAATGCATTCCAAGCTGCTGTAAGTCATTCCCGACAATATCCTCCTCTACTCACAGCATCCTCGTGCGTGGGCAGTGGCATTTGTGTCGCACGATGGGCGGATTATGTTCCACGGCGTGCCGACAAACCCGTGAGTAAAAAAAAAAACGAATGGATCGTACCGACGAGACGCGCCGTCAATGAGATATCCACGTGCTAATGAAACACGACAACCGGCGCAAAGGCATGTCTGATCGCATGGTGTGGTGCGCCGCAAGCACAGCCACGCCGGCTACGCAAGTTACGGAACGATGACAGCAGCACGAA